AAAAAAAAGGCATGAGAGAAACATTGCTTTACAAACCTTACGACTTAATAAAAAAAACTTAGATATTTTGGGTATGAAAGCATTGTAATGTTTACTGATAATCTGCCAAATGTCGTTAACGTTCGTTTACTAATTTAAAAGTTATAGCTTGAAAACTATACCAAGCACAAAATAGCTACGAGGTCGTCACATTGACTGACCCCGTACTGAAAGAGTTATATTCATAACCACAAGATTATTTCCTTTTTTTTTATTATCATGTGTGCTATGCATTTTGTAATGCTAATTGATATAAATGTTTCTAATGTTTTTATTGAATGTTAGACATGCATGTATGTTGTTTTTTCTTACAGGCCCCCAAGAATACTACCTCAACAAAATCCGAACACTGACGCACAAGGAGTAGAAAAGTCGTTGCATCTTTGGTATGGGTTTACCAGCGGTGGCGCTGGAATAGTATATGAGCTACAAATTCTTCACTGTATGTTGCTTCTTTTTGCTTGGTGGATTTTTTAGAAAAAAAAAAGGAATATGTAGCTAAAAATGAACTAGAAGACTGTTTTCTATTTGGTTGAAAAACTTTAAAATCAATCTTAAGTTATAAGTAAAATCTGAAACCTCAAAGCAATGTATTCAGTTATAATCAATATAATATTTTGGTAATTCACCATAATCTAACAAAGAAAAATCTACTGCTCATCATTACGAACTTTCACGAGGGTAGAACATCACTAATAACAACAGAATTTACAAAATTCTTGAATATTTTCAACAGAATAGAAGCTAAATGTGGCGACTACGGAAATATAAAATATCAATATTCACAAGATGTACATAAGACACAAAACTGCATTATAGTTCTAATACATTAAAATGAACCAAAATAAAATTGTTGGTAACTTTGATGACACTAACATTAAATAAAGGTTATGCTGTAGAAAACAGGAAGTGTATAATAGACAGGCGGAACGTCTACTAAAAAGGTACTGCTAAAATGTGTTTAAAAGACAGTACGAAACGTGTGCTAAACTACGTTATCATCGTGATAGTTAAAAAGACCAACAACAGAAGCATGGTTTGTTTGTTTGTAGGTAAGCACAAAACTACACAAAGAGCTATCTTTGCTCTGACCACCACGAGTATCGAAACCCGGTTTCTAGCGTTGTAAGTCCGCAGACATACCGCTTGCCACTGGGGGCACATCAGAAGCAACCTAAACATTATCACAAACGGTTAAGCGTGTGTTTAAAGTGTCAACTCTGGAGATGAAAAATAATCATGGTTAAGATTAATACGAAACGTGAATGTAAACAAATTAAGCATTTGTGAAGAACAGTATTGTCATTGAAAAGGGTATCATCACTGAAAAATGAGAAACCTCAAACAGGATATATTGTCATTGCCAAAAGTAGATGAAGCATCGTCAACGTACAGACAAATCATTGAAGACAAACTCTAAGAACAGATCATACGAAACTTTGATGACATTGATACGGAGATACTAAATCACTAAACACTTGCTATCATTAAAATAATTTCAGTTAGGCTTTGTCATAGTAATATAAAGCGGAATTTGGCCATTAGAAACAGTAGTTACGGAAACATTAATGCCTCTTATATGTGCAAACTAATTTGTTTTCAAACTAGATCATTTAAATATTGTAAATAGTTATATCGTACAGTTGAATTTGTTAATAAAGTTTTGTGTTTATAATAATTTGTATTTTTGCCTAGAATATTCATTTCATGCCATTTTTCATTGGAAGATTCGCTAGAATGAAAACTTTAAGTTAGTTGCTATTTTTAAAAGTGCATAGTAATTTGAAAATTCTTGTAATTGTATGGTCTAAACGTATTTCAGTTGTCGCTTTAAACGTATTTAATAAATTATTTATTTTATGACCTTAGAAAAAAAAAAAACTTTAAATGGAATATTACTTACCTTTAAGTGAAGTCGAAATATTTATTTTGTCTCAAGGTATATTAAACTTAAAAGAAAGTTACATTAACTTTTTTCTTTCTTTCTTTTTTTTTTTTATTTTGGTAATTAACACAACAGTGCAATGAAAGAAGTGGTGTAACAATAAATAAAGCATTTGTCCCAGGGCCCAGACATATAAAGAAGAAATAATACAGAAAAAACAATAAAATGTCCGTAATGATAAAAAATAATAAAGCAATCATTCTTTTTCTAACTGATAGTTACATACTGAGTAAGCTTTCAACTCTCTTTCAGTAATAAGAACCGCGGGAATTATATAGGCTAGATTGTGCATGAAGTCATATTCAGTGTCCTCGATCGCCATATTTGAAAACATTGCTTTGATATTTGCATACACTTACAAGAAACCAAAATCAACTACAAAATCATTTGTTATTAGAGGAGTACGCTTAAATATTGAACTCGAACAGATGCAAGAAGAATTAACACAGAACAGCATTTCTTTCACAAAATTTGAAAGAATAATATCTACGAGAACACAAAAACCAACTAATCAAATCAAAGTACATGCAAATGACACATAAGATATTCAGAGTATAATATTAAATGGTATTATACTCTGTTTCAAGAGATTTCAGGTCGAGAAATTAAAAATGCCGGCCGTAGTCGTGACGCATGTTATAATTGCCAGCGCTACGAACACGTTGCCGCACCCTATAAATCTCTCCCATGCTGCGTGGGTTGTGGTGATCATTATGATACACAATGTCCAAGGGAACGTAAAAATTCGTTGTGCTGTAATTGGGAACAAGTACATACAGCAAACTACAAAGGATGCAGTATAAAGAAATTAAAACCAGAGTATACAATACACTTCACAATATTATAGAAACAACCTCACAAATTCCAGCAATGAACAAAACACAAATATCACTAAAAACGCCACTCCTGCCCACACCAATTACAAAACAAACGCCTACATGCACACCCACTTATGCTGCAACAGTACGTAAACAACCAGGTAACAAATAAACTACACCTTCTGACAACCAAAGTAATCCTCTAGTAAAGACAAGCACAGAAACACAACCAAATAAAAACACTGAGCAAACAAATAAACAACCACAAAAAACACCTTTGAGTTCATCAGTGAATTTCAAAACTCAGATAACCACAAGATTGTATCGCATTACTCATCACAATAGCAAAGAAACATTTCACAACAATCTTTTCATATATAATACTGCAGTTCATGGGTTCATTTTTCGCTTAAAAATTCACATTCAAACATATTGATATCCAAGACGGTCTTACTTCCAAGAGGCACGAGATCGAGGACATTTTATCCCATACAAATTCAGATATTATAGTTATTACTGAAACTATGTTTAATAATTCAAATAGTCTTACATTTTTTGGGGTATACATCGATCAGAAAAGATAGATTAAACAAAAATGACCCTAATAAAGGAATGGCATTACTATACAAAATTATTATAAATTGTTAATTTAAAAAGGGGAACAGGGATCTTCAAAAATATATAGAAACAAGAGAGGTAACTTAATGTGAAAATTCAATCGCAAAAAATGCAAACAAACAAAGTTAAGGGTTGAGACATAACGTTGACATTATTTCCTCACGCTACAAATACCTGTTTTGACTTCATGTCTAAAAGCTGTAATATTTAGGAGAGTCAAAGTTGAGACTTGTAGCTTGAGCAAATAACGTCAACACTATGTCTCAAACATTAAGCTTGTTTGTTTACATTTTTTTGCGATTGCATTTTCACTTTAAGCTACCTATCTTGTTTCTGTATTTATATATTTTTGAACATCTCTATTCCCCTTTTTAAATTAACAATTTTTAATAACCTTTTAATAATTTATGTCCATCATGGACACAAATCTGTATAATATCAATACAGTCCTATTTGAAACAGTTTAATGAAATACGTAGTCGGTGTATGATGCTCTTTCGGGAAACAATGACAACCTTTGGATTGGCTTTAATCAAACTGGATGGCTATTGCTCCTGATATCATTTCCACAATGTTATCAATGATAGTGTTCCTGTATGTATGATCACTATAATACATGGTGATCAACATACCGCATGTTATGTATATGCTTGTAAAATATATATATTTACTATATTTATACCCTGTAGCTATATGGGGAGTCTGTAAACACTGGATTTGAGGGACTACTGAACTATACTGGAATGGCACATCGACTGGATTCTGTAACCGCATGAGTTTTATACATGCAGGCACTTGCAACATATACATTGTATTGTAAGTTGTAAAGCCTTATATATATATATCTAGAGAGAGACATATGAGTTTTTCAAGATGCATGCATATATATTCAATGCAAATATATAAGATAATGTGCAATAATGTAGTAGCATATAAATGCAAATAAGCGTTTTTAATATTTCTTATAGTTGTTACATTTCCCCTTTCCTCCTCTTCCTCTTCGCTGGCCATAAGGCCAGTCACGGTTTTGCTACAGCTGGTCAGATTTCCTCTTAGAGTGACATTCTGTACACTCTACAAGGTCGAAAACGTGTTAATTAACAATTATGAATTGATTATACTAATATACCTTTACTCCTCCATTTCTGATAGAGTTTGAGTCCTGACATTTCTACGACCCTCTTCCACTGTGACAACCCTAAACTCTGGTGGGCCATCGCTGCTGTGTAATTTATCTGAAACTAAATATTTTCTAAATAAATATATAGTTGAAAACTTTCTGCCTCACTTTTTCCTAGAATCGCCATCATTTTCGCCACTTCCTACCAGCACGATTCTTATCACTCCTTATAGTCAGTTTCAAGGACGGCTGCTCTATCTGCATTATCTATAAAATTCGCAATCACGCAGAGTTGGCTATAATTCGGCACTTACCATCAGCCATCACCGTGATTGCAATCTGATGCTCGAAACTGAGCTTGGTTCTATCTTTTAAACTATGGCTTAAATATTTATGTTGTGGAAAACAGCCTAGACGTTTGTTTAACCTTTTAGACGTTTGTGTAACGTTTTCGAAGTTCGATCATGCAGATGTAAAAAAAACTGTCATCTTGTCTGCAGCGTCGTGTCTGAAAGGGCAGGAACCCTATACATAAACAAATGATATGGGACATCAATACAGTTGCAACAATAAGTTAATAATCGCTATGGCACATGTGTCATGCCTGCCATATAAACATTAAATTACATCCACGACCTGCACGCAGCTATATACATATGTATGTAGTGGATTATGAGTCTCCACATAAACCACAGACTACAGTAAAACGATTGGGTATCAACAGCTATACAGCACCTGTTATTTGCTAGGTAGTCAAATAAACTTAAAAACCACTCTACACAATGCGCGATGTTAAATTTAGTAATATTGCTCAGGTTTTATTACAATACACACAGCCATTTTTGCTTTAGGCTGGCGAATAGTGATAAAGAACAAATGGGCGATCCCTATTATGAACCACTATTGTGGTTCATGATAAATCAACAGCTTCGGTCACACAGATAGTGACTGAAACAACAAATGACTGTATAGCAATAGATAAAAACTTAACAAATAATGAGGGCATCACATTAGCAGCAAGTTACTGCTCAACCTCTAAGGCTATAGACATAAACCTATTAAATAAATTAAATGAACATAACCA